AGAAGGTCTTTGAACCCTAACTGGTGTCACAGGTGGCAATGCTAAAAACTACCCCTGGCTAATACTTCACTGTCATTCATCTTATTCCTGTTCAGAACCCTCCTTCCAATAGAGTAAATAGAAGTGGATAAAGAAAACTTGGGGGGAAAAGATTATAAGGAGAAGGACAACATTGAGATAGTAGCTACCTGTCGACTTCATTTCTGTAGGCTGACAATAGAAAGCACCAGCGCTATGTCTACACTGGCAGCTCAAAAACTTGCCTGCTGTCTACACTGCACAAGTGTTCTTGCACAAGTAAATTTACAGTATAGCGTTGTAAAACAGGGCTTCTTCTGGAAGTGTTATTCCTCTGCCCATGAGGAATAAGCCCTCTTGCACCAGAGCTCTTACACAATAGGGCAGTGTAGACAGGCAACATGAATTTCTTGTGCAAGAAGCCCCTATGGTTAAAATGGCCATCAGAGCTTTCGTGCACAAGAGAGTGTCCACACTGCCATGGATGCTCGTGTGCAAAAGCACATGGCAGTGTGGATGCACTCTTGTGGAATATTTTTTGCACAAGAACTCTTCCGCAAAAGAGTTCTTGCGCAAGAAGCCGCCAGTGTAGACGTAGCCCAGGTGTTAGCCTTCTCTCAAAGATGTGCTGGAATGCAATACTTGGATCCAGGCATGGTTAAGCTTCATTGGCCTAATTCTGCTCTCATCCAGTGCAAACTGGGAGCAATTCATCTGATGGCCATGCAGCTCCATCCCATAAATGCTGAATGGTTACTTGAACCTCATGCTCCTTTTCCTGCTTCTTATGTTTTATACTGTGGTTATTTATGCAGCAATATCCACTCACTCTATGCAGGATCCAGCCCTTTGAGAGCATGTTTAAATAAAAACCGCAGTTTAAGCTTCCTGCCTGCTCATTTACTTTACTTAAGCTAGTCAAAAACCTCTGCTGACCAGGTTGATCTCAGCCTTTGGCCATTCCAATTTGGTCTCTTTCTTTCACTATCAACACTATCAATGCTTACTTTTCTGCAGAACAAAAGAAAGCTCTTCTGCTATATTATCTGGGTCTCTAAGCACAGCTTACAATTTTCATGCCATTTGCGATTCTGCATTTGAATCTTCAAACAACAGTTGCATAAAATAAGTACCTTGAACTGTTGATAATGTTTCAGCCAAATGCTTTGTTTACAGTAAAGAGCACCAAACCCCTAGAGAACTGATGGGTGGAAAGAGAGACAGAGGCATGATATAAACCAGTCTCTCCATTCAGTTTTGGTGTCGGGATCATGAAATGACTCAAAACCAAATAATTGCAAAGACAAATCACTCTAAGACAGGAGATTGCTAAAGGAGGAGGGAATTTAAATATTGATGATACAGTTTGATTGATTTTCCAATGAGTATTAGTGGCAATGAAGTAAATGTCCATACTAAGAAACAAAGTATCTCTTTTACAAATGGATGAAAATAGAAGCCACACTGCAAGTAAACCATGCCTTCAAAGTAGTGATGTCAGTTGTGTAGCTAACTCCAACCAAGAGTCCTGGAAAAAATGCTGTCTGGTAGTAATATCACAAAAATGATATTTTAAAGCCCATATTTTTTGTATAAATTCAGTAAGAATAGTCCCCATGTGAACTGAAAATAGAATGTGAAGTGGTTTGTGCATTGTCTGTGGGATCCAGAAATGAATAAGGTCCTATGTTCTCGTTACAGGTTTCCCAGACACTCCTGAATATCTGCATTCAGTTTCAAGTGTGCAATTAATGTTGCACTCAATTGACACAAGCTCAGGTAGTTATGAGGACAAGAGTTCGGAAAAATGTTTTTGATAAATTTTATTCACTTAAAAATGTAGTTTGGGGTGATTCAAAACTCATTAATTTACAAATAATGTTAGCCAACTTTTTATTTTGTATTTTAGCCAAAAATCACAGGCTAGTCAGAAGAGGGCTATGTCCTTTAGGTCACTTGCTAGGGGACTCACTTCAGATGTGGGAAACCCATATTCAGTTCAATATGGGCTTGTATATTTCATGTTACTGGGCCAGGAGATAACATGCTGTTCCACTGTGTATAAGTCACTAAAAAGCCACTGCCCAAGTGACATGAACCTGGGTCTACCACCATCCATGTGAGTGCTGAACCATCAGATGCTACAATCAGACTTATTCCTTCTTTGGAAGACAGTCAAGTTTACACATGGTAGAACAGCTTCAAGAGGAGAGAGGGAGAAAGAGGCACTGTGGCCTTGCCTATAGTTCGGTGGTTTGGACACTTAACTCTCATGTGGTTAGAAGCATGTTCCCATCCCTTCAGCACACAGAATGGAGGGAGGAAATGAACCTGAATGTCCCACATCTAAGGTGAGTGTCCCAACTCCTGGACTAAAAATTATAAAGGACAGACCATGCACCTCCTCCAGCTATTTTGTCATTCTAGCCCTTCATTTCCTTTGCCCATATGTTAAAAAGCACCTGGAAGCAAAGTGAAATAGTTCATTTTCAGACTGAACAAAACGTTTGTCAATGTTTATTTTTTTCCAGAGCTTTTGGATTAGGTCTGGGTTTAGCTGAAATTTTATAAAATATTTTTTGGAAATGACAGCAAACTGAGAAGTCACTAATTCTACCGGCTCTAATAAGGACCAGGTCTAATAACAGACAATAGTTTTCATTGCTAAAGGGAGTTGGAAATGTTATATAGATAAGAGGCACGTAGTACAGAAATCAAATCAAAATGAACCTGTAGGCATTCAAGTGACTATGAGGCTTCTGACAATAATACAAAGTGTTGACAATTTCAATGGGACCTGCAAAGAGATTAATGTATAGAACATCATGAAAAGCAATGCAATCCCTCATCAGAGTAAAATAAGAAATATTCCACTAAGAGGGTCCTTATGTATCCAAGTGCAGGAACAGAGTGATGATAAAGTACAATACTTGAACTCATTGATTCATCAGAATAGTAGCTCCAATAAGGATAGAAGAAAGATCAATTGGATTAATACATTGCAGCCTGAAAAAATAAGATACTTTTTGAAAATCTCCATCAATCTCTTTGCTCATTGAAGAGAAGCATAAGAGGTGACAAGTACCTAGATGAAGGATTCTGACAGCAGACAGCTCTTTAATCTAGCAAAGTCAGAACAAAGGTCCAATGGCTGGAAACTGAAGATTGACGAATGTATATGGCACACATTTTTAGCAGTGAGGATAATTGACCTTTGGAAGAATTTACCAAGGGATCTGGTTAATTCTCTAGTTCTTAGCACTAGTCCCACAGGAAACCAAATATTGAATGGCTGATGGATAAGCCTGAGGAAGTGGTTGTTGGAGCTGAACAACATTTTGCTTTGAGATCCCGAATAAACCAATGGCCTTGTCTTGGTTCAGCTAGGAAAATTGTTGCAGCCAGGCAAGAAGTAGCACAGGGGTGGGCAAGATGTGGCCAGCAGGCCAGATCCGGCCCGCCATGCCACCGCTTTGAACTGCAGGCTGTTCTCTGCTTTGGATGCTCTGGAGAAAGGGGAAAGTTTGGTGTGCTGCTCCTGCCTCCAGCAAAATCTCTCAACTCCCATTGGCCAGTGTCTGGCCAATAGGAGCTGAGAAATTTTGCTATGGTCAATATGTAAAGCCTCCTTTCTTCCCCCCACCCTGCCAGAGCAGAGCCATATGGAGCAGCCTTGGACTGTAGCAGACAGGCAGGCAACCTGCCTCAGTTCCTGCAGGGCTGCTGCCTGGGAGCCATCTAGGTGAGCATCTCCCAGCCAGAACCTGCCTCTGGCACCTCACCCCCTCTACCCACACAACTACCTGGATAAGGCCGTCACCTCCTCGTTCCCAAGGTCAACACCCAAACCCTCTGCACCCCATACTCCCCTTCTCCCAGGTCACAATTCCCTCCCGGACCCTGTACCCTCTCCTACAATCCTTGACCAAGCCAGAATCCTCTCCTGAACCATACCCCCATCCTGGACCCTGCCACTCCAAGCCTCTGCTCCAGATCACAACCTCCTCCTTCATCCAAACTCTCTCAGACCCCACACCTTCTCCAGTCCCCTGTCCCAAGCTCCTCTTTGCACCTAACCTCCATCCCAGGCCCCAGGTCCCTTTTCATAGAAGTGCAGCACTTGACCACTTACCAAAATATTGGAGTGGTCCCCCAGTAAAAATTATGGCCCACACCTGACATAACATGTATTCATGTGGTTATTAATCTGGGTAAAAATCACTTCCGGACACTGCTATCAAGCATTCTCCAACTTCACATTTCAATCCGCTTAGCATTAACCTGTCCAGACTGGACATCAAGCAGAAAGCAACCGGCAAATACTTGAAATGTCAGTGCTGGAGGTTGCTCAGAAGAGGTAGGCAGCTGCTGCCATGTGCCAGGTCCTTCAGCAGATTCTGTTGCTGTGCCATGAAATCAAGCCTACTACAAAGTTGTGGATTTATAGAGTGGCAATTTTACCAGTTCTGCTGAATGCCAGTGAAATTTGTTGTTGAAAAAGGCTGACAAGCATTTGACTGATGTTTTCAGTTCTTATTGTTTTCATTAGCCACTCCTTATTAAGGGGAGGACATGGTCACAAATGAGGGTATTTAAAGCTGAACCCAGCAATGGCCTTCATGAGCAACGGTTTGGGTTTGGTGGTTCTCTTGGCAAAGATATACTATTAGGCTAGAAGACCAATGAATTACAGTGTGTGTTTATGAAAGAATGAGATGCACCTTGAGACTCTAGAACACATGACTGGCTTTCTGAAGCCCCACCCCCATTTCCTCTCATCATAACCATCATCATGGCAAATCCCAAAGGGACATGGTCTCCTTGCAGAATAAGCACCACTTGGATTGATCTCCCACTACATCTTGCAGTCTGGCTGGCTGGATGTACAGGTCATCTCCATCATTGGCAATCTTATTGCACTGCTAAAACCTCGGGTGACAACATGAGCACTAGGGGTACGTCTAAACTACATGCCTCCGTCGACGGAGGCATGTAGTTTAGACGTACCCCTAGTGCTCATGTTGTCACCCGAGGTTTTAGCAGTGCAATAAGATTGCCAATGATGGAGATGACCTGTACATCCAGCCAGCCAGACTGCAAGATGTAGTGGGAGATCAATCCAAGTGGTGCTTATTCTGCAAGGAGACCATGTCCCTTTGGGATTTGCCATGATGATGGTTATGATGAGAGGAAATGGGGGTGGGGCTTCAGAAAGCCAGTCATGTGTTCTAGAGTCTCAAGGTGCATCTGCATTGGCCCTGTCACAACAAAGTAAAGTTTCAGGGCTGCTGTAACATTCATTAAGTGGCTAAAATACTTATGGGACCTTATACCTGTTATGAACTGGCCTGTTGAAGGAATCTCCATCCATGCCCCTCTCATGCTGAACAGTGAAATAGAAATGGTCATTTTTCTCTCTCACCTTTAGCTTTACACTTCTCAGGGTCTACTTCTAGTTCTGCACATTAGTTCGATATTTAGATAACAAACTGCATTTCTTTTGTACTGAGAGAGTTTCCCAGAATTAATTTTGAGGCCCCCATCAGTACAACAAATGTGAAGAGCAAGGAGGGGGAGTGCTTATTGTGGATGATAGATGAGGGAGCAGGAGGAGATGTGGGATGATGTATCAGGACTTTTCCATTGCTAATTTGTAATGTGGTAATTTTCCATTGCTAATTTGTAATTTGATTCTGTGGTATGTGAGGCAACATTCTACCTTCCCATCAATACCACCTGCCCTTCATGTATTTTTCACAACCAGAGCAAAACCTTCCCAAGCCCTCTTTGCTGAGCTGCTGGAAGTGGAGTCCATTTTGTCTTCATAGTGATGTCAGGAAAATCACTGGGGCTATGCATGCCCCTGGCACTGACTCAGGCTGGGGGGAGCACTAATTGGGTGACTATAATGGTTCCAGAGCTTGTGGCCTCCCAGGAAACAAAAGATGCAAACAAAACATCTTGGTTTACATTCTTCCTAACATGCTTCCTTGCAATGGACCTTGTAAACAAAACTGTCTGAGGTACAGATAGCAGCTGAGAAGTGACTTTGTGAGTGCCAATGGTATCCAAAGGTTGGACTGAGGTGCCAAAAGCGAGTTACGCACTTAAGTCACTCTTAAGAATTCACTGTTCCTTCTCTACCCTCACACTCTGACATCCAGGTTGTACTGGGCATGCCTAGACTTCCCAACAGCAGGCTCCATTCATCACACTGAGCAAACCAAACCTAGTGCATTCATGCAGCAGTAAACGCAAAACTTCTCTGATTTCAAATGAGTCTATTTTTTTAAATGCACAACCTGAATTCTTGGACAGGAAAAACCTGATGTCTAGTAAAAATTGCAGAAATCCGGAAATATTTGATTCTACTCTAACTGAGCAGACAGATTAATATCCATGATGGGATCTCTCAAAGGAAAGAGAAACACTTACTTGGTATAAAATGCCACAAACTTCAGTTCATCTAAATCACCTTGAAAGATGACATCATCAAATCCTTCCCCATGGCCTGAAAAACAGAGGAAGCATCAAAACAGTGCAGGAGACAGGATTCTGTTCCATCTGCCCTCACTCTTCATTATGCAGTCTTATACACATAGGCAAACACCTGCATACAAAGACACACAAGCACCCTTTTGTTTGTCACTGTTCTAGTTTATAGCACGTCACATGGCATTTTTCAGTCCTACAGACACAACCTATTTTTGTACAATCGCATTCTATGACACGTACACACCCAGTGCTAAGGTTGGTGTGACAATTGCAACGACCCAGCATTCTTTGCTAAGGCGTCTCCCAAATGTTTCAATCATAGTCTCAATCCTAAGGGAAGCCACACTCTGCCCTCTAGGGGCTAAAGTCTCTAAAGCAGTGGTTCCCAATTGCTAGTCCTTGGACTAGTGCTCAGCCAGGAACCACTGGCTGTTGGGCTGTGGCACGTTGCCAGGCCATGCCCCTTGTCTTGATGATTGATGGGGTTCCCTGTAAGTTGTGTGCAGCAGCATAGCTGTGCAGATGCTAATTGAGCCCTGCTCACATAGAGCTTCCTGTCTGGGGAGCATAGTTCCCTGTAAGAAGGTGCACACCGGCGTAGCTCCACACAAAAAAATTCTCCACCCACTCACTCACTTCCTGCTGGAAGGTGAGTGACACGACGGATAGCTGCCCCAGTGTGCTGCAGCCAGAACTGGGGCCACAGTGAGGCTGTTCCTACTGAGGAAACCTCACTGAAGTCCTGGTTCCTGCTCCAGCAACTGCTGTGTGGCCTGGCTGGTGGGGCTGCATGGAGGGCAGCTGCTCTGACAGCAGGGTGGCTGAGCTAGCGGAGAAGCTCCTGGGCACCTCCAAGCTAGACTCCCACCCTGCTTCTGTTGCAGGAAGAGAGACTGAAGAAGAAGCAGGCCCATGAGCCGCTCTACTCCCGCCTGCACTAGCACTGCTGGGCGGCTCCCTCCACAATCACTGTCCCCTCCCCCAACCGGCCCCCAGCCTGTCCAGTGCGCACACATAGAGACTTGCTGCTGCCTGGCCGCACTGAGCCCTGGGAGCTAGCTCGGGGCCCCCCTGGCAGGGCAGCTGGGCCTGAGCAGGTGCCGCTGCTACCCAAGCGGCTGGGTTGAGGTGAGGGGACAAGGTGAGAAAAGCCCTCTGAGCCGAAGTCAGCCCCTGCTGCTTTCAGCCCAGCCTCTCCCCCCCTTGGTCCCCTGTCCCACTCATGCCCCTTCTTCCCTTTCCCTTCCCTTCTTCTCCATCTATTCCCAGTTCCCTTTAGCCCATCGATATCCCTCTGCTCTGCCTGTAGGCTGGCTTCTCACCACGCCCCTTCCCCTTCCTGCAGCCAAAGAGCCTTAGCTGGAGGCTTCCACTTTTCTTTCCTTTCCTTCTTTCTGTTGTCACAGCCCCCTTTCTCCTGTCCTGACTGCTCTACCCCCTTTGCCTCTCTCCTCCGCAGCAGGCTCCTTCCAGGCTCCAGCTGCATTGCCAAAAAAATAAAATAAAATAAAGAAGAAAGCCAGGGCCTGAAACTGGACTAACTCTCCCCCAATAGGCCCCAGCTTGTTGGTGCACTTCTCAGGCATCCCCGGTGCCAAAGCTCAGGCAGCACATTCCTGGCAGTCACCTCAGCAAGACATGATTTGTTTTAAAGTTTTTCTTTCCTTTTAAAAATCAATAATGAGAGAGAGAGGGAGGAAGTACATGGCTGGAAGAAAGCCAGGGCCTGAAACTGGACTAACTCTCCCCCAATAGGCCCCAGCTTGTTGGTGCACTTCTCAGGCATCCCCGGTGCCAAAGCTCAGGCAGCACATTCCTGGCAGTCACCTCAGCAAGACATGATTTGTTTTAAAGTTTTTCTTTCCTTTTAAAAATCAATAATGAGAGAGAGAGGGAGGAAGTACATGGCTGGGATGGGAGGGGATCAGAGCAGGCCCATATGTGGGTGGGTGTGCAAAGGGTGCACATGCACCCCCCCTCCCCATAGTTTCCAATGCATCTCTCCACCATCAGCAGCTGGGCTGCAATTTGTCCCCCCCCCCCCCCCCCCCAC